GCCTACACCAGTCCTCAACATGAAAGCACCTTATCAAATTCTGAACAAAGAACAAATTGAATATAAGTCATTGAAAGTTTTTGGCTGTGCTTGTTTTCCTTGTCTCAGGCCATATCTAAACCACAAGTTTAGCTTTCACTCCACAAAGTATGTGTTTCTTGGTTTTAGTAACTCTCACAAAAGCTTCAAATGTCTCAGTCCAACAGGAATAATATATACTTCCAGACATGTAGTTTTCAATGAAAATGAATTTCCCTTTCAGTCTGGCTTCCTCAATAAAAAAACTGAGTTACAAAATTCTGAAACCATCATTCATTATCTACCCTTTCATACACCTCTAAACAACAATCTAACCTGCTCAACTGATGAAGCTCCTACTAATGCAACTCCAACGGCAACAGCTTCTGAGTTTGATCAACCAGAAATACTTGAAAATGTGATAATCTCTGAGGAAAATGAGAATGAAAACACCGAGATTGATGTTGAAGGTACACAGATGGAAGGACAAGAGGAAACTATAAATCTTTAGTTAGAACAAACTAGAGGAGGTAATGAGCAAAACTCCAGTATGGCAGATCAAGTGAATCAAGTTATTGAACATCCTATGATCACCAGAGGCAAAGCCGATATTTTTAAACCAATGGTGTACTCAGCTCAGTGCCAACAGTACAGGAGGAAACAAAGTGAACTAGAACCTAACAATGTAGCTGAAGCCTTGATAAACAAAGATTGGAGATAAGTAATGAAAGATGAGTACAATGCACTGATGAGAAATGAAACTTGGAAACTAGTACCACATGTGATCAGTCAAAAGGTAATAGGAAACAACTGGTTTTCAGACTCAAACGAGATGCTGATGGAAGGATATTAAAGCACAAAGCAAGACTTGTTGCCAAGGGGTTCTTGCAGACACCAGCAGTAGATTATCATGAAACTTTCAGCCCAATCATAAAGGCTTCTACTTTGAGGATTATTCTTACTCTTGCAGTCTCAAAGAGCTGGAGCATCAAACAAATCGACGTCAACAATGCTTTCCTAAATGGGAAACTAACCGAGGAAGTTTATATGAGGTAGCCAAAGGGTTTATTGACAAAGCAAACCCCACCTTTGTTTGCAAACTGAAGAGGGCTCTTTATGGACTCAAACAAGCACCTAGGGCTTGGTATGAAAAACTAAAGGAAACTCTTCTTGATTGGAACTTTCTAAAGTCAAAGGTAGATAGTTCATTATTCTTTTACATGAATCAAAACCATGTAATTTTTGCCTTAGTATATGTTGATGATATAGTGGTCACAGACAATGATCAGAAGGTGTTGCAGCGCTTTATTGATAAGTTGAATGCACAATTTGCACTAAAAGATATGGGAAAACTACATCATTTCTTAGGAATTGAGGTTAAAAAAGATGAATCAGGCATGTATCTCACTCAGACCAATTCTACAAGGGACCTGCTAAGAAGATTCAATTATGAACATCTCAAACCTTGCTCAACACCTATGACAGCAGGCAAGATTATCTCCAGAAGTGAAGGTGAAAAGATGTCTGACCCTTTATTGTATAGAAGTGCAATTGGTGGACTTCAATACTTAGCACACACATGGCCCGACATAACCTTTGCTGTGAATAAAATGAGTCAATTTTTGCAAACACCTTCAAATGTTCATTGGATTGTAGCTAAGAGAATCTTCAGATATCTAAAATGGACTATTGAGCAAGGATTATGGATTCAAAGAAGTGACAAAATATGCATCACTAGTTTTGCTGATGCAGATTGGGCATCATGCCCTGATGATAGGAGGTCAACAATAGATTATTGTATATACTTAGGGGATACATTGGTGGCTAGGTCTTCAAAGAAACAACATGGTGTGGCTAGGTCCAGCACAGAATCAGAATATAGAGCCTTAGCACAAGCAGCTGCTGAGATAACTTGGATTGAGTCACTACTTAAAGAAATCAATTTGCACTCAGTCTCAACTATTGTATTGTGGTGTGATAATCTTGGTGTGAGTGCCTTGGCTTCAAAACCTGTTTATCATGCTCGAACTAAGCATATTGAGTTGGATATACACCTTGTTATAGACAAGGTTCTTGAAGGCAAACTGAGGATTCAATATGTTCCATTATCAAATCAGATTGCAGACCTGTTAACTAAACCCCTCTCACAAACCATATTCATTCTTCTTAAGGACAAGCTTGGAGTCAAAGAATGAACTCCAGCTTGAGGAAGGATGTTAAAATGCATCATCATACGTCCATTGTTGAATTCAAGCTCGTGTTCATCACAAAATCTGATTATTGCTAATGTGCACCTGGGTGCTATGCAAATTAGTTATAACTGTATTTATTCTTTGGTGCTTTGCACGTGTAATCTGTTTCCTTCATTTCTTGCTCACCACTCCAAAGTGGCAATAAATATTGTATCATACTCGGTGTAATTTATTCAGTAAGGGAAAATACAATTATACCTATTATTCTCACTAATGCTATATCAGTGTGTAATTCAAAAATATATTCAATCTCTACTGTAGTGTTGTGTGAGGTGGTGAATTCTAGTAGGCGGTGGTGGTAATGATGTGGTGGTTGATTAAAGTTGCAGATAAAGGTAGAGGTAGACGTGGTCGGTTTTTTTTAAGCAGACGATTGTGGTGTAGGATGCGACACCAATGTATTTGGTTGTGGTGGTGCTGATAGCAGGGACGATGGTGGTGGTCAGTGGTTGTGGGTGGGTAGCATGGTGGTGGCGATCGCGTTTGTTTCTAGAAGCGGTGGAGCTGGTTGTTGGTGTCTGGAGATTTAATAGTGGTGGTTGTCGTGGTCTTTGTTGCCAGTTGATTTGATCTGATGGTTGCGATTTTGTTAGTCGTGGTGTTGTGTTCAGTTTGGTGTTGGTGTTGGTGGTGATGGGTGCTATGGTGGTGGTGGTGGTGGTACGAGAAGTAATGGTGAGATGGTGGTCGCAAGTGTTGATAGTAGTCACAAATTATTTTGTTGATTGTGACCATTAAATTGATTAACCTGTTCTAATAAAAAATATAAACTGTGATCAAGAAATAATGTGTAACCTAAAAAATTGTTAATCTGTGAAGGTACCAAATCTTTCGTTTATTAACAGACTTTGCCCAAACCTTTTATTTATGCCACCCACGGCACTAAACCTTTTTAAAAATTTGCAGCTCATGTCTAAATTGACAGTTTCCGTTAGTTTGATCCCAAAAATCGTCAATTGACTCCAAAAATTAAAAATTTAATAATTTGATCATATAAGACAGGGGCATTTTGGATAAAACATATTTTTCTATTAAATCAAACTTTTTTAAAAAATAAAAAATAAAACCATAACCTATCCCCATCTCCTTCCGCAAATCAACCACCACATTCACCGTCGGCAACCACCACTACCCCCCGGCATCACCACCGCCCATTTCTCAGTCTTCCCCTCCCTCTAAACCCAACCAAATTAACCCACTACCATAGCCCTTGCTGTCGAAGTCGTTGGTGCCTGCCACAATCACAGCCACTACAAAATATGAGCTTGACCAAACATTTGAGAAATCCCAATCTCTCACATACTCAAGTTCTTTTCCTAGGTGTCGAAATTGAGAGAATCTATATTTCAGAAGCAAATTTTCACATTGAAAAACACGTTGAAAATGCATGCAAAAATTGATTCTAAATTCACTAACTTAGCCCCTTCTTCCCCAATTTCGAAATCTGCAGATGATGGTAGTCCCAAATTCAAGCTCACTTTTTCCCACTATTACTTCTTCTTCATCATTTTTATCACTCACTAACGGTACAAATTCAAGCTCATTTTCATGGAGGTCATTGCAGTTGGTTTTGGGAGGTGCCGACACTGGGTGCTAACAGCATTGGGCGACAATGGACTAATGGCGATTCCGGTGGGAAAAGGGCGTGGGTTGGGGTTGGTGAAGGAGAGAAGGAAGACTGAAAGAGTAGCGTTCAAGGTGGTAATGCCGATGGGTAGTAGTGGTTGTCGGCGGTGAATGTGGTGGTTGGGTGGAGTAGTTTTGATTTGGGAAAGAAGATAGGAATGGGTTGTGATTTTATTTTTTTATTTTTTGATTTAATAGGAAAAATATATTTTATCCAAAATGCCCCTGTTTTATGTGATCAAATTATTAAATTTTTAATTTCTAAGGTCAACTAACAATTTTTGGAGTTAAACTAACGGAAACTGTCAATTTAGACATGAGCTGCAAATTTTTAAAAATGTTTAGTGCCGTGGGTGGCACAAATGAAAGGTTTGGATAAAATCTGCTAATAAACGAAAGATTTGGTACCTTGATTGCAATTTTCCCATAATTTAATGATATGTGACTGTATGATAAATTGTGAATTATAATATTTGTCATTTGTGACCAATAAATAAATCGCAACTCATAAATTTTTTGATTTATGACCGATGAATAAATTGTGACCTATAAAATTTTTGAATTGTGACATGGAATTTCTAATTTATGACCAAAAAATAATAAATAAGTTGTTCATTTGTGACCAAATTGTATAAATCTTTGACCTAAATATAATTAATTAATTAATCAATTAAATCATAAATAAATTTAAATACAAATTTGATTTTTGAAGTTTGACACTTGTTTTCTTGATTTTAAAATATGTGACCTGCCGTATCCGTCCCTAAGCCCTTTAAAATGTAAGATATAATAAAGGAACGTGTGATTGTTGTACATGAAATCAAGGATGAAACTCTACAACAAATCCCTTGAAAACTTCTGGTGAATTCATATCTTTTTCTGGGACAGGAAGGATCTCCAGTATGGTAGCTTTGATTTTGCGTAAACATAATACCAAAAAAATGAGAAAGAAATCTAGGGACGAAGAATCCATATATCGCGAAAACTCTATACAGAATGACAAACAGTGAGTAGATGCATAATTGCACGAAATGAACCAGTAAATGGCAAAAAAAGGCTGCGAAAATATCTATATGATCAAAGAGACGAAAAGCTTCACAAAGATTACCCCCTTAATGCTTCACCCCAATTTTCATTTAAACAACTTTAAATCCAAATTCTAAGTGTGTACATTACAAGAAAGCAGGTGTTCGTAATTTCAAAAACGATGCTTGAAAGGAAATGCTTTACAAGAAGGCCACTGCATCATTGGACAGAACAGAACATTAGGAGATGAATTGCTCTCTCGGTACGCTACTTCCTAGTAAACTCAGCCAAACATTTAGCATAAGCACAAAAGGATATCTGTATCAAACTAGCTGATCTCCACCACCCCTTCCCCGGCGTACTATTTGTCCCCGCCCACGGCCATAACCTCTACCACCGCCCCTCCTTCCACCTCTCCCTCTTTCATATCCAGCACCTGTTAAAAAATAAAATAAAATAAAATAAAATTTGACACTAGCAAGTCCAAAGGATTTTCGGATATTCAATAAAAGTGCAAGAATGAAGATCATCACTGACTTTGTTTTCAAGGCTAGATTTTTCTAATCTTACATCTCTTCCTCTCTCATTTGTTATATAATTTCTTAGTTCTCGATTATTCCTAGCTAGGAAAAATCTGGAAATCACTACCTTTTGCTTAATATATAGGAATTATCTTGAATTAGCAAGATGATAGGTCAGCAGATATTCTACTGACAGAGAGTCTATAAATATGACTTTATATTTATATATATTTTATTTTTTTTTTGATACCCAGGTTTCCCAGCTTCGCCAAACTATATCCTGGACCCCCAGCCCCCGGCCCCTCAGTGACTGGTGGAGGTAAATAGCGGTTAATGTCCAAGTTGACCACGGTTCGAACAGCCTTTATAAATATGACTTTATAGCATGTATTATAGATTGTGTATTAGTGGATGAGTTGAGTTAATGAGCGTAGAGAGAGAGAGAGAGAGAGAGAGGCAGCTATTGTAAGTGGAAAGTGTTGTGAAGTGTGTTAACACCTGAGTCATAAAATAATAAATAATAAGATTGTTGTGAGTAAATTAAATTGGACAAGTCTATTAATAATATAAGTGATGAGAACATCGAACGACGTTTACTTATTTTATTTAAACTTTATTTATTTTCTTGAACTATTATTTAAATTTGGACTTGTATAGGCTCGAGCCCAAGCTCGTTAGGGTTGCTTTACTATTTAAACCTATTTTGCATTTGTAACTTTCAGTTGATGATGAATGAATAATTATTTTGGTGGCTCATGTCGCATCCCTCCCCTTCTTCTATTGAATTCTTCTTCTATCCCCTCCCTTAATTCCCCATTCTTTCTGAATCTTTCTTCTATTTCTATTAATCATCATTTTGGTGCTGCATCAAATTTGGTATCAGAGCCGAACCATGGGTAATTTCTTTTCTTTAATCCAAAATTTATTCATATTTCCTTCCCAAAATCTGTTGGAACAGCACGAACTAAAAGAATTTTTGGTAAATGCAGCAGTTTTTTTCTTCTTCTTCAATTTTCAGTCTTAGTAGAAAAAAAAAATGTACTGTTCATCGCGGGTACTGTTCACACAGAATTTCAGTTTATTATTTTGTTCAGTTTCTTAATTAAAAATAAAAAAATAAAAAATAAAAAAAAACTGTTCACGGGTACTGTTCACGTCCAAAAAAAAAATTCTTTTTTTGCAGCTGCTCATAAAAAAAAAAAAAAATTGTGGTGTTGTTCCACAAATCCCAAACCCTAGCATTCAAGTCCATTTAGCCCAATTAACCCAGCCTACTCTTTACAACCCCGGCCCACTCTCCAAACACTAACCCCAGCTGGCCCATCTCTATAACAGGATCCAAACCCCTTCCCATCTGACCCAGTCCCAAATATCCGACCAAGCGCGATTATAACCAATCCATTAACATCAAATACCCCACAGTTTCACCCGATTCCTCTCTCACAACCACTCTCTTGCTGCCATCGCCTTTAATCACCATCACGCTACCACTTCATTATCTATTGTACCCAAGCATCTAGAGCACTACCGCTTCATCGCCATAGGCCACCACCACCAACCCAAGATCATACACTTCCACCACAGTTACCACACTCATATATTTCCTCGTCCATCTCAACAATCTAAAAGCCACAGTCACCACACTCAGTTTTACGTCCACACCAGAGTCAGCACAAGTTACAGTCAATAGACGTTAAAACCATTGGACACGAAGGGAAGAACAGAAGCATAGTTGGGGCTTATAAGTCGGCAATTCAGATCAAGCGGCATACAAATAATCAAAACTAAACAACAGGGAGTCCTTGATCTCTATTTAGTATTGGTTTATACTACTACTTCATTTTTAAAATTGCATCAATTAAAATCTTGTGCTGCTGTTATTGTGATAATTTTAGCCTTAAACCTCACTTGATCAAAACCATTAATCGAATTGACACTAGTGATCGAATTGACTTCCATTGTTCCCCACTTAAATTGATTGGAGAATTTAACTAGTGTTGACCCTTGCTTTGCCATTTTACATGTACTAGCAGTATTAACTTGTTTTGGATTTAATTAATCCCAATATTTAAAATTAAATTAAAAAAATGGTACAAGTTATTTTCCATTGCTTGCACGTATTGTTCACCGATCTCATCATAACACGTCATTTAGTTGGTATTACATTGCATGTAGTTGCAAGTGGTCGTCTTGTCATCTCTATTTCCAATACATTGACCATGGATCCATCCCAATTTGATGCACTCACTAGACAATTAGCGCAACTTGCCACTAGCCTATCAACTGTCCAATCAGATATAACTGCCACTCGTGAGGAGAGAAAGAACCTAGCTGCTAAGTTGAGCAATTTTAAGCGAACCACTCGTTTAACTGACACTAATTCTGAAGCGTCTCATAATAGACAATATCATGTGGACAAAGTGATCAAAAATATTTTCGACGCGATCGTAGGAATAGGGATCAGATTCGTAAGCGAGAACGAGATAATTTTGAAATTCTTACTCAATGGAATGCCCTTAAACAAGGAAATCAATTAGTGACTGAGTATATCGCGCAATTTGAGGAATTTCGAACCAAATGTCATTTAATTGAGGATGAAAGCATGACTTTGAGTAGGTTTAGACAAGGTTTGAGAGATGATCTTAAGCACGAGCTTTTCCTTCGAGGTGTCACTACTCTTGATCACGCTTACTCTTTAGCTCGAGATTATGAGTTGATTATTAGTACTTCATATGAAAAGCGTGGTCATCGTCGTTCACCCATCTCATTAGCGTCGTCTCATCATAAGTCTATCATAAAACCTTCTCTGTCTAATGTTCGATCTATTTGGAAAAATAATTGTGAAGGTCGTGATAGTCCAAGATCTTCTTCTTCATGTAGAAAGCATAATGGCAATAATCTTTCGATTTCACTGGCTCCACTTCCTCCTGTTAAGTCCCTTCTAGGACCTCCCCCGTCTAATGTTCCTCCAATTTTGGAAAATAAGGGTATAATTTGTGAAACTCCAAAGACTTCTCACTTGCTATGCATCAACTGTAAGAATTTTGGCCACATCTCTTCCAAATGTCCTAACCGAGCCTTAATCATAGAAGAACGAAAGAATGCAATAGATGAGTCGTTAGAAGATCTAGCATATGGCCCTAAACTTGAAGATTTTGATGATTATAGTGAGAACACTTCCTTAAGTGGAATCCCGACCCTTCCCGAGACTTTAGAAACTATACCCCTTGTTTCCGACAACTCTCGATCACATGTTATATGTCATACCCTTATCCAACTCAAAGAGTTTGATGATTTCACTAGTCACCCTTGGAGAATCCAGTCGCTTGTTCTTAGTACTAAATCGAAATTCTCCACTACTGACCAACCTCAAACTGATGGTCAAAACGAAATTGCTAACCGAAGTCTTGGCAATTTATTACAGTCTCTAGTCCAGAAAAATCTTGAGAATTGGAATTCAATCCCCCCAACTATTCACATCGCATATAACAATTCTATGAATCGGTCTCTAGATCTAAATCCATTTGAAGTTGTTCATAGTTATAATTCTAGGCAACCGTTAAATCTTAGTCCCATGTCCTCGCATGCTAGTGTGTTGTTGTCAACTGAAGCATTTGTATATCATCTTCATGACTTGCATATTGAAATCAATAAACAACATAACGCAAGTAATGCATTATATAAATTTCAAGCTGATTCGCATAAACGATATTTTGAATTTAACATTGGGGATTATGTCATATTACAAGCTTGAAGTGCTGGTCCTTTAAAAATTTTAAAGCATGTTGGTTCAAATGCACATGTCATTGCCTTTTCATCACATTTTAGCCACCACTCTGCTTTAAATATTGAGGACTTCATTACTTACAAATACCGTATTACTTCCTTTGATGATCCATTTCTACTTAACTTTGTGGACCCCCAATTTGACTATATTGATATTTCTACTTTAATACCATCTATCACAGCACACAAAGATAAAATTGATGTTATTTTAGATGAACGTGTTGTATTGACCAATGATGGCAAAATTCGGTACTTCCTTGTTTGTTGGGTAGATCGACGTACTTATTATGTTCCTCATTATGTACAATCATGTGAAAATGTTGAAGATGAGGTGCATGAGTATTGGTTATTTGAAATCCAGTATCAGTACTTGGTTAGAAGGAAAGATTGGCCCCCTTGGTCAGATCATATTCTTGGGAATAAGCTACAGTTTTCAGTACTATCAATTATGGAATTTCATTACTTGGTTCGTCAGAAAGATCGTCCCCCATGACTTGACTTGAAACATTTGGAATATCAGATTAACTGCAGCCTATACTATCTATCAACTCGACAGGGTCGAGTTTTTCTCCCCCCCCCGGGAGAGTTGATGAGGACATTTTACGTATTTTATTTCAACTTTATTTATTTTCTTGGACTATTATTTAAATTTGGACTTGTATAGGCTTGAGCCCAAGCTCGTTAGGGTTGCTTTACTATTTAAACTTATTTTGCATTGTAACTTTCAGTTGATGATGAATGAATAATTATTTTAGTGGCTTATGGCGCATCCCTCCCCTTCTTCTATTGAATTCTTCTTCTATCCCCTCCCTTAATTCCCCATTCTTTCTGAATCTTTCTTCTATTTCTATTAATCATCATTTTGGTGCTGCATCAATAAGACTATATATTTCGGGTTAAACTCTACAATTTCGTATCGTGGCGAGGTGATCAAGGGGCAAATTTAAAGCTCTTGAGATCATGCACAAACTGAAATTGTGAAGCTTCCATTACGTGCTTGGTTACAAGGAGGTTCACCAAGTTACAATGAGTGACCTACAAGTAGTAGGTGGAATTAAGAAGCTCAAAAATCAAGACCTGTAAAAAATCACATCTCCAAGGAAAAAACTTGTGAGACATAATCGAAAGAAGTAATGTGACACTCTTAAGGACGTCGAGGCTCTGAAGAAGTGGAAAACCAAAACGAGTAAAGCTATATTTTCAATATAGATAACAACCAATGCGATGTTGTAGGGACACATAAGGGGAAAAAACCATTCCAAAAGAAGCATGCAACACTTTTGTAGCACTTCTCTCCAAGAAAAAGGACTCAAGGTTGAAACTTCTATAGTACTAGTTACCCCATATAGCTCAATGGGAAATGACAATAAGTCACTACTTTGACTAGGTAAAATCTCCATCATGAAATCTCTGAGGTCGATTGAGAAGAATAATTATACATTCGTTGAGCCCAAGCCCAAGTTTAGAGGCTTCATTGTCAATCAAAACTTCACCAGTCAATCTCAAAAATTTATAGGCCAGCCAAGAAGCATTGATCAAGAAAATGTTAAAGGTCTCAATAAATAAAGAAGAAGAAGCGTGATTTAGCTATGAAAGGAAAGGTTGAACTCAACAACAAAACAATAAAAAATTAAAAGAAGATAATTTTAAAGAACTACAAGGAGATTTCTAGTAACAAGAGAAAGCAATCATCTTCGGGATATTAACAAACTAAATGCTTTATGTGTGGTAAATGGGGCCACTATGCCACATATTGCCTGCTTAGAAAACGAGCAGACAATATAACAACCTCCAATGAGCGAGATAAATACAATTGTGAAGAAAAATCATCTACCACAGTTATTGAACAGGTTCAAGAGAAAGTATTTAGTTCAAGCTTAGGGGACCAATCAAATAGATTATGAAAATGATTGCATCGAGGATTCAAGACAAGGCGTAATGGTTGATTAAAAGTCTTCTCAGTGGATTCCAAAGAGGGTGAAACTACTAGATTCAAAAGAAATGAATGACAAGCTACAACAGAAGACGAAAGAGAAAATTAACGAAGCAACAATTGAGCCAACTGCCAACAAAAAAATCTGCTAGATTTAAGCAATGTAGAAGAGAGCCTACAAGGTGTTGAGGTACGTATATGTCCACAACCACAAATAAGAAGTCGAGCAGACAACAGAAACCAAATATCAAGTATGCTAACACATCAATAGATGACGAAAAGGAAAGTATTGAAGAGCTGGACAAATTTGAAGTAGAAAACATTTTGATCAAAGGACAAAGTCATTCAAAAATGCAGAATTTCTGACATAGTGAGGAATGACTAGAAGAGGGCTGAAGGAGATAACTGAATATCATCAAGGACTTTGTTTATAAAGCTTTAGATTTGTTAGTCTTATATAACTTTGTTTATAAAGCTTTAGATTTGTTAGTCGTATATCTCTCCCTCTCTCATTGTTAGATAACTTCTTAGTTCTATATCTTTCCTAGCTAGGAAATATGTGGAAATCACTAGCTTCTGCTTACCATATACGAAGTATCTAGAATTAGCAAGAAGACAAAAGTCTGTGGAGTGCACCGACTAAGAGAGCATATAAATATGAGTCATAGCATGTAATATGTAATTGAGTTTATTAATGGATGAGTGAAGTGATTGCGTGAGGCAGCTACTGTGAGCGGAGAGTGCAGTGAGTGTTGTGAAGTGTGTTAATGCTTATGTGATAGAATATTAAATAATATAATTGGTTTAACTCTAAATTAACTCGTACAAGTCTCTTTATTAAGATAAAAGCCAATATATTTTGGGTTTAAACTCGTAAAGTCAAAAGACAAAATCCAAGGATATGAAGTAAAGAGTTTGGTTTAAGATGAGACTTGTTATCTCTCTTGATATCATGTGGTATGGCCATTTAGAGTTCTCAAATATAGACACTTCCCTCAACCCCCAAATATGTATCATATAAAATTTTACACAGTCCATTTTATACTTGGAAAGCATGAAACAAAAAAAGAAGCAAGTAATTTTTTTAATCCAAGAATGAATTTTCAATATTTTTCTTCTTTCTAACATAATTCCATCTAAACTTCTACGGTAAAATCAGAATAGTTCGATTATAATAAAAACTTGATTGGGCTCAATAAGGACCCAAGTCGTTTTTAGAATCAATCAATTTTTATTTACTGAGTGCAGAATTCTTATATTTTTGGGATCATTTCCCCACAGGAGATGAAAAACACCAGATTGCTACCTTGCCTAGACTGTCTAATATAAAATGCAGTATACGAGTATCAAAAATTTCTATAGGAACACGCATTGCACTGTATGTCAGTGAATAGTAAAAAACAAGTAATTCAGGTAACTTACCATCGTAACCCCTGCCTCCGCCTCTGCTTCGTACCCTTCGTACCCTTCCACCGTTTTCTACCAGTAGATTATCAGTGAGCATTAACGTGTGCCAATTATTCTTCAAAACCAAGAAAATCAGGAAACTTACCCTGGTAACCCCAGCTTCTGCCTCGTCCACCTCCTTGACCCCGATTATAATATTCACCATCTTCTGCTAGTAGATTATCATTTATTAGTGAGCATTTAATGCAAGAAAATTCATTTCAGAAAAACAAACCACAACTAGCAATTTTATTATATATGTAAAATATATAACCAACCAGTACCTTGATAATTCTGGAAACCAACCCTTCCACGACCACGTCCTCGCCCTTGCCCTCGCCCTCGTCCCCGGCCACCATATGAATCTGAACATCACATGTTGAAAATAAAATATGTAAATGACCTTACTTTTCTCTAAACAAAAAGGATAAGTACCTTGATTTATCCGTAAGACCAAAAGAATCAAGCCTTCACGCTCACCTTGATTAATATCCAGAGATGGAGCAATGACTTGTTTATCTAGCCACAGCTCTTTCTGATTTTCAACTTTTGCCTGCTCCATGTTAGGAGGAGCTTGGTACCTAAATGGATAAATTTCTGAAGAGATTAGCTACGAGATTCATAAATGAAAAAAGTTGTTCTATGGATAAAAAGTTTGAAATTTCAAATTTACCCTGGCGAGTTCTTGTTCAATTCAACAGTTGACAAAGTAATTGTGATCAGAGAGACTTGCCGCTTCATCTCCACCCTGCAAGAGAGGAGAAACAAGAAATTTATTTTTCCACCATTAAATCACACATTTTTCTGGAACGTTGCTGGTTTATGAACTTACGGAGTCAGCCCCTCCTCAATGGGCTCATATGCATCAGTTATAGTTGTTGATCTAGTGGATATATTTTGATGCAATACAGGTATTCTCTTCTGTTCGTTACACAAAAAAACACAAATGTTACAGTATTATACAACTTTTGTATCTGTCGAACAGAAAAAGTACTGCTGAATTCAAACCATACCCAAAAAAAATATTTATACACCAACAGAACTTTAAATAAAACATTACGAAGGTGACAAGTCAAACTTCGTATGGAAGTACCTTGACAATCTCTGCAATGGTCACTGCCTTACTGATTGCCTGTCCCATTGCGTTCAAAACAACCTCCTTCTCTTGTTTATCCTGAACGTGGAAGTATGAATCACCTTTAATAAATGAAGATAATGCAACAACACGGTAAGACCTTGCAAAGAAGTCTCTTATAAATCTGAAAAAAAGACAAAGAGATTGCTAAACCTGCATAGCTCCAGACGATGAAGAAGAAAGGAAGAGGATAAAAGAAGTGTAATAATTGACATTGTAATCGGAGCTCACTTTTTTGGGTCAAAATAACCAAAGAACCACAGTTGTAAGTTCTTTGAATTGAAAATGTGTCCATTTAAGAATCAAAATACTATTACATTGTCAATTGAACAAGCTATTACTTAAGCTGGTCATAATTTTATCAACACATTTCGTAGGACCCACAAATTACTATCCATTTATTATCAATATATTCCGTAGGACTCACAACTTATAAGCACTTAAAAGTTCTACCAAACAAGCACTTTTGAATAGAGGGAAGTTGGAGGTGACTGGCTGCTGGATACCTTTTCTGAGGGGTAGGGGTGCAGTGCTGAATGATTTTCACAAAGAAGGTTGAAAAGCCATTCATGATGTTTGGGGAAGCTAATAACATTAATAACACGAAAAAGGGTAAAGGCAGGTAAGAAAATCTTCTGCAAGGAAATTGTATATCACCCCTGGAAATGTAGCACAGCACCCACAGTAATATTCAATTCTGGATTTGGAGGATACAACTAGACTGCCATTGCATGCTGAATAACTTTCAAATTTAAATAATTGGGTACAAAAATAGAGATGGAGTAGAGTTCCATGGGTACTCAACCTAACTAGAAGAGTTTGATGACAATTCCAGAGAGAGAGAGGGGGGGGGGGGTGTTTGCTGGTCATTAAAGTAGTTTTTCTTCTTTAATGTCCTTGTGTTGGGAAGCCAAAGGTACAGAGAAGGATAGCAAATTTTCATATCAATTGTAGTATATAATTTTGAGTAGCCACTTCATGCTGAAGTTCGCTCTCATTGTCTTTCCTCAAGTGACATCTAAATGTAAAAATAGAGAAGGTAGTTAAATAGAACCTTCGTCGTAAGAAGCAAAAACCACGATAATCCAAGAAAGTAAAGGTGGCAACGACATCTGTGAAGAGTAAACTACATGAAATCCAGATAGTAAGGAATTTTCAATATGTGATTGCATAATATGTGATAGTGTTTCTTAAAACCATGATCATGGGTTCTTTACAATTGTCCACATCAAATAATATTTGAAGTTAAAACAATTGATATGCTAGAATGGGTATGAAATCTAATAGCTCAAGCTTTTAGGTCAAAGTAGAGTTTGAGTTTTGTATTTGGTTCTCCCTATTCACAACCTAATTAGCTATCAGAGCTGTGGTTGCTTATCCAATTTTGGGACCATGGGAGTGTCAAACTATCCCACATTGGATAAATAGTTAAAATCAGACAATTAATACACTAAATGGGCCAAAAGCAAATGGCTTAAAATTCAGGTGGATTTGGGATCAAAACCTATGGATTAGGCTCAGTCTCCATGCATATTTGAGCTTCACTCAAATGATATTTACGGGCGGGGGGGAGGACATAATAACCCACGCATTGCACTTTTGAGGCACAGTCCCTTTCATCGTCCTATGTAATGGGTTGAGGCTTGAAAATTTGCTTCCAAATGCCAGAGATAAGAACTGGCCTGGAAGAACTTATGTTGACATTGTGACCTCATTTGTCTTCCCAAGGGGCAGATTTTTGTAATTAAGTCCTAGAGAAGCTTAATAATCCTACTCTTAAGTTGAAATTTTTACAAACCACTTAGCAAAGTGTTCCTCAAAAATTATATATAACTGAAATTCCATAGATTTTAAACTTCAATATATGAAACTCAACAGGTACTCTATTTTGCAAAGATTGGTTTTAATCCCTCGTTCAAAAGAAAGAAAGGGATTTCCTTGCACTCAACATCACATTTTACTCTAATGATTACATTTCTTTATGCATTTGACCTATCATGCACAATTTCCATAAGACCACGTCTTATAAGCACTTAAAAGCACTACTAAACAAGCACTATATATCATTTCATATGCTCTCTTGTGTGTATTTGTTTCCTTTACTTTTATTTTTCACTCTTATAGTCAAATGCATGGTTGAAAAATGCTGGGGCAGCAGATTTCTAGACGTAAATTTTCAAATTAACTAGTTCAATGCAACAACTATTCCGCCCTAGATAAGGGGCACAACAAACCACAAAAACTCACCAAGCCACAACCTGCCACTTCAAGATTCAATTTTTCCCCCTTATTTGTCAATAAGTTCCAAGTAAATCAACTAGAAAACCAAGCAGGAAACTCAAACCGTCAAAATAACGAAACCAAAAGAGTGTTTTCGGACTTGTTTCCTCCATAAAGGACAAAAGACAGAATACAAACTCACAAACCCACTTGAAACCATAAAAACAAAAAGATCCCACGCCATCCCGCTTAAAGATTCAATTTTTTCCTTATTTGTCAAATCTTCCCAGCAAACCAACAAGACAAAGTGTTTGGGGAAAAATCCCACCAAATGTACAGCTAACAGCCTAACACAACCGGAAAATGAGCAGCAGAAAAACAAGCAGGAAGGCGAAAATACAAATTAACTGTGATTCGACAAACTACATACGAGCACAAAAAATATAGGAGAAATAGACTTTATTAACTAACAAAATCTCACAATACAATATTTTTCTTGCACTCACAACTTCTCCCTACACAAAACTACAACACTCAATGTGACTAGCAAAAAACTCAAAAACAATTCCAATATGTTTCCTAACTTTATTAGAATTATGACTCAACCCGACACCAAATACTCAAAACCAACTAAAAAACAAATCAGAAAACTCGGAACAACGTAAAAAATAATAAAACCATAAACTGAGTGGTCAAGAAAGAGAACCTGAAGTAGAGAAGTGGCATAAATAATATAATTCCGTATGAGACCCTGAGCTGTGACTCTGATTTCATTCTCACTAATGTGTTCTTCTGGCCTTGGCTTCTCAACTCTCTGATACCTATCCATTCTCTGATATTCCTTTCTCGCACTCTACGGGCGCTTCTTTCTGGAGTGTTCTTTGCTTCCGCTGGACAGGGAAATGTAACGAAATTGGCTAAGCTATAAAAGTTATTTTATTTTAGTGATAGTATAAAATTTATTTAAATTTGACTAGTGAAATTAATTAATTTAAAAAGTGTGGCCATATCAGAAACAGACATCATAAGTATTAATTATGCAGGGACATAATTCAAAAATTATTTGAACATGCAATGTGGAATGATGTCTCGCTGAGCTTCATTTTATAAAAACTTTTTTTTCTCCGAATTTATTTTCAATTACATTATCTCAACAAAATAATTTTGTTATTTCATATGTGAACTCAAAATTTTGCTTATTTTTATGTACAAATTCTTCAAAAATTATATTAAAAAAATCATTTTTAAAAAAAAAAAAAAAAAAGACTCAAATAGAATGGACGTATGATATCAGAAAGTCTTGTTTATTATTTATATAATAAATTCGTAATTATGTGAATTTTATTCTACTGTATTCTTAACTTGATTAATTCAAGTCTCAATATTAATGAAGGGGTCTACATTATGCTCATATGTGAGCTTATTTAAAATAAAATAAAAATAAAATAAAATAAAATAAAACATCTAACTCATTTTCAATCGAATTTTCTTCTAATAAAATAATGGTCCAAAAAAATTTATACTCCATAATTATACATTCTTGAAAAAAATCACTTTTCCATCAAAGTTATTCTCAAATTTTGGGCTCAAACATGGAAATATATGTTTTGTTTTTTTATATACCTTTTCGTTTCTTTCTTCTTCTTTTTTTTAACTCTTGACAAAAACATATGTCAATATAGAAATATGAAAGTGAAGGGAAAACCGTCTTCATCTCTAATTTGAATGAGACTTGTAAATTAGAAAAGATTAATTAAGAAATTTTTATCTTTATTAATAGTTGATAAAAGTTGATGGATCACATGAAACATATAATAAAAAATAGATAAAAAATGTGGATCTTGATGTAAAACTATTAGATACATATTGATGATTATGTAATCATATTATTATGCATAAATAAATTTTATCTAGTTTGGAGAGTCTATTTCATTCCAATTGTAACTCTCATTTTGAACCTTAAAAATATGAGTTTTGATTATCAATAAAACCAACAAGTTTATTGGTTCTTTCTTTTATTCTCTTTGTTTTTTTACTCGGTTTATAATGCGTTATCAGCACGGTTCTCTAAAAATATAACAAATTAGTTTGAAGGTAGTCTACAGCCAATCTCAAATCATACACGATATTTTTTTTATTTTTTATTTATTGTAGCTTATGCAAATAATTACTTTTCATGGATTGATTTTTGCCCAAATAATTTTCATTTTCGCATAGTGGTTTCTACCCAATTTTCTTTTTGTCCAACTTTTTGAAATCAAATCACTAAATTGTGCGTGTCCAATCATCATATCGTAGAATAATTAATCATAAATATGGATATCCAAACACAATAATCAAAATTTGTTTTTGTGCTTCTTGTTTATCATTCAATTAATTACGTTGTTATTATTTTTTTAATACGAGTATACTTTATGAATTTATTATATATCTGTCTATTGTAAAATATTCTTGCTTTTGTATTAGCACTCTATGTTAATGTTTTAGTTAGATTTTACTTGTTCATGAAGAGCGTAACACTCAAATTTTAATATTCCAAAAGAATGTTACTCATAGATCAGTTTATTACATATATTTATTACTTATGAAGTAGCATAACATTATAATTAATATTACAATTTCAATATTTTAGAAGAATATTAATCAATTTCTATATAAAATCACAAATTAAATTACTTGATTTATTTAAATGCCCATTCTTCTGCATATGTATTCATGTTCTAAATTTTATTTGTTCTAGAAGTGTATAATGAATACAATCTATGAGTTATTACTCCTGAAGAACGTAATGTTTTAATTTTCAATATTTTAAAAGAATATTGATTTGTTGTTCTTGAAAAAACAATAATAAAATATAACATGTTCTTGAAATAATATACATTTCAAATAATATATATCTCGTTGTGTTTCTGAAAAAACACATATTGAACAACTCGATAATGAATTATAATTTTTAAAGGAAATTAATTTTATGTATTATTAATATTCAAAAAGAATATTAATTTATCGCTCTTGAAAAGTATGAATTATAATTTTTTAATATTTCAGACGAATATTGATATATTGCTATTGAAAAAACAATAATTAAAGGTAATATGCTCTCGAAGTAGCATATTTTTAAGAATATATCATTTGAATTCATATTTATCTCTGAACGAAAATATATAATTAATGTCATGAAAATATTAATTAGTTTGACTACCTGAATGATATATGATTATATAAAATCGTATTATTCGAAATTAAATAATTGAATTATATCTATATTAAGCCCTTGTATGATTCACATTTTTCTAAAATTCATTTTTTCAAAACTTATTTTCAACCACCATTTTTCAATAAAATAATATTACATGTAAATTCAAAACTTTTCTTTAATTTTTAATCATACATTCTCTATCAATCTATTATTCAAAATGCATTGTTTTCTCCAAAATGAGGATCAAACAAGAGTTAAATCAGAAGTTCAATTTAACTTTATTATTTGATAATACCAGCTGGATCATCACTGGTTCAATAATGATGTGAAATTAAAAATTCAAATGATTATTAAATGAAGAACCAAAAGAATTTTTCCATCCAAATAAATTCTATATGATGTTTGTTTTTTTTTTTTTCATGAAATTTTCTCATTAACCATCATTAGCTAACACATGGGGAGACTAAATTCACTATATTTCTAAAAATTAATCAGGGTGATAAATGGGATCCCATCACCTTACACATTAATCATCTAAATATTATTTGTATCTAATTATTTGATACTTATACTAGACGATTGCATGGTGGTTCACAACTTGAAATTTGCGAAATTACTGTTCAAATTTTAAATTGTCATGCATAATTTTCAGATTATACAATCTAAAACGATGTATCTTGTTAATACTAGCTATCCTAAATCTCAACATTTTAATGTGTTAATTGAGAGGTTGATAAATGGTTTAACATTATTTCTTGTTAAATGCCTCAAACTAATTTAATTAAGAACAAAATACTTTTCATTTTTTTGTTTAGAGAATGTTATTACGCATCATGTCAACATCATAGTTTTTCTTGTTATAATTGGCTTGTGGTTAAAGTCTAATTTCTTCATCGGATTATTTGATAGTTCAATTAATCCACCACGTTGTATTGAAATGAAAAGTAAAGAATGTTTAGGAGATATGCATAGTTTTAACACTAATCTTAAATGTTTGATAATGTAATTTACTGATTGTTAATTTGATTGGACACTTTTCTCAACATTAGGGGGACGAATTAAAACGTTGAAAATAATGTATAAGTACATCATTATCCAAATCCTAGCAAAAAAACCTTTCGAACTAGAAGTTCAAAAGATAATTGGTTTGAATGTCTTCACTAGCCAAAGAGAATAATAATATCACACACATCAGTTTTAAATGCTCCAACTCAAATTAAAGTCCTAGAGGACAATTAGTTAATATGATTTTGATGGCATACCTGAAGTGTAAGTATATTCGATTATAATATGAAAATTGTCAAATAAATTTGGAGTAATTAGCAAAGATGGCCTCAATAAAGAGGCATATATTCTTGATGAGTGTTTAGACTTAACAAATTATAAGACTCCTAAAAAGATTTAGGCATATGATATGTTAAAAATTGGACATTTCTATAAGTTATGTCATTATAGAAAAGAAATATAATAGAAGATAAAAAGTTGTCGACAATATTTTTGGACATAATGTACTGTATTATATTATGAATAGTGAAGAATTGAAATATTTGTCAAAATATATCGATCGAAGTAATGCTTGGCTAAATAAAAGAGATACAATCCTACATTGAATTTACTAGAAAAACCTGAAATTTTTAGACCCGCAATCCGAAAATTTTAAAAGGTATATATTTATGCGAAAAGAAAATGAGAAAAATGAAGTTGTATATAGTGCACAACTCTCAACATAATATATTTTGTAAAGATAGTGGTGAATGAAATCATGAATCCATATTTATATGAAATTTGAAATACGTGATAATTAACTCATCTGGCATGACTATTAATGTTATTCTTGAATGATTTAATATGTTTGAAGTATAATTCAAGTGATATTATTATAAGAGAGAGCAAATATGCGTTGTGTTCTTTCCTTTGATCGATGTTTTGTCCTATTGATTTTTCTGGCAAGGTTTTTAATGAGACAACTTTTTGTAGCAGACTTAAAAAGAATAATGTACCATTTTTCTTTCATTAGAATATTTCCCACAAGATTTTTCCTAATATGATTTTAATGAAACTTATTATTATTATTATTATTTTGTGATAAATGTCAATAACATACAAAGCATTTACCATCAAAATAATGTTTTTATATGTAGGAGATCCCCGAAGAGATCAATAAGAGCTATTTTTCGAATTATCATATAATTACGTTCATCAAAAGGTAATAAATATCTTGTATTAAGGCATTATTTGAAAACTATACAAGACAACATGAGATATACTCTACCAGAAATTAAAATATTGAAGACATCAATGTACAAGATATGGATCGCTTGATATAAAAATTTTCACTTATGAAACAAGGGAAGTAGCTACATTCTTTTTCATTCAATCGAGTTTTGTCTCACTATATTTTCTTGAAAAGGTTTTAACAAGGTAGGATTTTACTACTCTAAATTATTTATACTCTTGTTTCATTTGTTGGTATTTTTGTCTCATCTGGATTTCCCCAAACAACATCCCAATAAAATAGTTATTATTGAAATAATCATCAAAGGGGGAGAATTGTAAAACTATAAGATAAATATTGATGATTATGTTGTCTTATTATTATGCATTGATAAGTTTTATCTAATTTGGAGAGTCTGTTTTTATTTCAATTGTAATTCTCATTTTGAGTTCTTTAAATACGGGTCTTGATTATCAATAAAACATATAAGTTCATTAGCACCTCTCTTCTATTCTTTTTTTTTTCTCTCTAGTTTATAATAGGTCCAATAGATTAAGAGGATATTTGATGAGGAATAAAATTAGATTTTTTTAGTAGATTGTGATAGAAGTGTTTGAAATGTATAATTGAAAAATTGTGCGACCCATGAATGATGTTATAAATACTGATTATTTGATTTTAACTTAAATTAAAATCAGGCTTTAATCCAAAACAAACAGGCTCTTAACTTTTTAACAAACAAAAGTTTTATTTATAAAAGCACTTAGAAATAATGTGTCTTATTTAAAAAAATAAAAATAAAATTATATAGTTCTTCTCTTTTGTACCTTTTCTATGAAGTTGTTTGGTAATTTATGTGCTAACCTTTTAGATTTACAATAATACGTAAAAGCTATACATCTTAGAGATTTGAGGTAGGCTGAGAATGTTTCTAGACAAGGCAAGCTTTTTCTAGATTATTATTGAATTTTGAGCCATCAATAAACTCAACATTTTAATTTATAATTATAAAGATTTGCGATGATAGTAATAAGAAGAGAGATCTACAAAATAAATAGCAAAATTTTGGAATTTCACTTTTCATAGAATGCATTCCATCGAGGAATTATTAATGTAGAAGGTTGTTGTCGGTCTATATCAATGTTCTAAAACACAGCATGCACATAGCGGGCGTAAAATGCTCCACGTCGCACTCTTTTTTTTATTACATTTTTACTTTTTTTTTTCCATGCCTAGGCACGTTTAGAGACTCTATGGAAAGTCAAGGGTGAATTGTGACATCTGAGTGGTGAACCAGTCCTATGAACGGGTTGAAAGGACCAGTATTTTATAATTTTATATGTTTGATAAGTATTATTTTAATTATTAAATGATTTTTAGATTGATTAAAAATTTAAAGATAATATTAAAATAAGAAAACACTTACTAATCTAAAACTTAACCTCCATACCTCATCATGCTTTACGATATTTAGAATACTGATATATATTAACTTGGACGATGCAGCAAGTAGGCCTTTATGCTCGAGAATGATGATGTGCAAAGGCTCAAGTATGTGACATGTTATAAATCTGCAAATTGAAATTATTGAATTACATGTAGAGAAAATATACCAATATCAGAGTGTTACACCATATGGATGAGGTAGTATGTAATCAATATTCAATATTAGGTAATACACCGAGGAGAGAATTTCATATACATCTACTCATTATCTTGAAATGAAGAACTCTATCCATTAGGAGTTGGAATGGTGTATTTCAAGTTTAGTTCCCTTTTGCCTCGACTGATGTCTAATTCATGTTTATAAATTGTTTATAGTACTTCAGTTACTTTTTATTTACATTTCAAGGAATATACAAGTACTACCTACTTATTAATCACTCGTTTTTGTCTATTTATAATTCAAATCGTTTATAAACACTCCCAAAATAGGACTAGTGATATATAGTAAAATGCCCATCACTATTAATATGTGCAAGCTACTTTGGTTTGCTATATTGTTGTATAGGATTTTATGTTTCTTTGCAGGCCTCTTCTCAATTTACGAGCCAATTGGTGTATAATATACTATTCAATTATTACACCTTTAGTTATACATATAATACATACATACATACATACATACCCACACACACATATATATGCCCTGTATGACAATCTTTAAAACAATTTTTATACCATTTTTAACGACGCATTTATACAATAAAGCATTTTGTACGTAAATCCAATTTTTTTTTTTACCATATATTCTTCAAAAAAACACTATTCAAAAAATTATTTTCCCCAAAAACTCTTTAAAAGGAGACAAATAGAGATTTAGTCATACATTCTTCCAAAAATCAATATTCCAAAACTTCTATTTTTGCCAAAAAAAAAAAAGAAAAAAAAGGAGAAATTTAATGGTTGTCAAATAGGGAATATACAGCCAAGTTGAAGCATTTAATGACTCTTTGCCCTATCTTGTTGGCGCATAAGCTACCACAAACTACGAAGCAGAGATTGTGTATGCATTATGACTGTCGAGCCCAGTTGGATGAGTCAAAAGAGCATTACAACATGGGAGCGGTAGAATCTGCTATTAGGTTTGCCATTTCGAAGAAGACAGATCACATTATGCCCTTGTTTGGTCTTCATTTTTTCAAAAATACATTTTTTTTCAAATATTATTTTTAACCATATATTTTGATATAAAATAATGTTACACGTAACTCAAAACATTTCTTTATTTTTTCATCACGCATTCTTTGAAATTTTATTATTTCAAAAAATATATATATATATTTTTTCAAAAATGCTCAATATCATTTGATTGAATAGTTGACCCAACCTCTTATTCTTCCACGTTTTAGCAATAACATATTGTTTCATGGAGCTATGGTCTAAAATATGGAAGCGTTTCCACGACTTTACCACCCAATCAAAGTGCCTAAAGAGCATATTTACCGAAACAAATATGATTACCTCGATAAGATATTCCCTTCATTCTTTCTCTATATTGTTTACGATTCATTTTAGTGGAGCCGAAAGAGGGGGCTACATATATTTTATGTATTTTTTGCATGTTAAGTAACTCTTGACATGATGCCCACTGTATAGATATGATAAATATTGCTCGAGATAATTTTGAATGTTTACATTGTGATCGCGTCAACCCCTCTTTCTTTAACTAAGTATTAACTATATTAGCCCTTGTTTATTTTCCATTATTTGACCATTATAATGAAACATATGACCGTTATTTATCATATCAAATCACCATATTTGAATTTCTATCTTATATGGAGCTCGTAACGACTAAATTTTTTATTCTCATTCTTACATTAATGGAAAACAAACGGGGCCTAACAACATTACCATGTAAATTTCATCCTCGAATATTGAACTTTCATTGAAATTTCAATTAAGCCACTAAAGCCCTTGTTTGGTTTAATTAAAAAAAAAAGATAAAAATTTAAGTAAAAATTAATTAATTTTAATTACACATTTCGTGAACCCACAATTTTTATCAACTTTTCAATCACAAATTTCATTAACTTTTTATCAAAATTCACTAAAAATCAACTTTTAGCAAACCAAACATGAGCTAAACTTTAAGGTGTCTCAATATGGATAATTGAACTTTGGTTTAGATTAAAATTTCACCATTATATCACATTTCGCCATCTATCGCCCCCAAACTGATAGAAATTACTTAGTTGACGGTTATACAAATATTTTTTTACGTAATCCCACTATGACCCCGTAAAAATGAAAATGTTATTTAGCCCTTGATTGAACCTCATTTTAGGGAAAAAGAATGCATTTTGAGTAGTTGATTAATGGATAATGTGTGGTTAAAAATTAATAAAAAGTTTGAGTTTGCATGTAATATTATTTATTAAAAAATATGTGATTAAAAATGAATTTTGAAAAAATGAATTTTTAGAAGAATGAGATTCAAACAAGAGCTTAAACAAGAGTAATGAAAATGTCATACATTATACCCCTGTTTGATCCCTATTAATTTTTATTTCATTATATTTCATTTTTTTCTCTCCTATTTTAACCACACAATTTTTTATAAAATAATATTATACGTAAATCGAAAACTTTTCATTCTTTTTCAACCACTTATTTTTAAAAAAATATTATTCCACCAATTTTCATTTCCCCAAAATGGGTGCCAAATTGACACATTTTTAGATCTTAATACTTTTATGTGATACACAAACACATCCATTACATGAAAAATTTAGTGCCGGAATAATTTCATCGATTTGAGATATATTTCAAGAAATTTTTCTTCAAATGAAATATCCAACCAAAATAAGAAAAAAGAAAAATGACAGCCAAAAATAAGTGAACAAATTTCCATCGCATAAAAACGGACGGTAAAGAACCGCACTCAGTATCGCGCCAATATAAACTTCCATTTGCTCCAGTTTGCTCCACGTGTACTCCCTACCTACTAGTGAACCTTCCTTCTTGTTCACACAACACTGCACTACTCTCAAATCCCCTCGTATAGATACGGAATTCTCTGTTAAAAATTCATTATTGATTCAATTATTTGATAATTGAAACGTACAATTTACGTTGAATGAATTAGACCTTGATCTATTTACTTTTTGTTCATCGCCGTTGAATTTCAAGCTCACTACACACGCAATTGCACACTGAAAGGGTTTTTAGTTGTTTCTCAGATTCCGCCATGGACGCAGCTACTCAGTTGGTCTACTGCGGAGTCGATCCTTTGCACCGTAAATTATCATTTTCGACCAACTTGCAAAAGTCAACCAATCGCCGGCCATTCTCAAGAATGCTTAAATTCCGAAACCAAAACGCCGTCGTAAAGGCCATTGCCACGGAACCGGGACCGTCGGATACTAAGCCTGCCAAATCATCTCCACCGTCTCCCAAAGTTGTTAATGGGAAAACGCCGTTGTATAAACCGGTCAACGGTGCTTCCACTGTAAGCGCAGTCGCGAATTAATGTCATTTTTATTCCAAAATTTTCAATTTATGTTAATCTTGAGTTAAAATTTCAAAATCATGTGGCTGAATAAATAACAGAAGATAAAAGTTCGCGACTTCTGAGGGCAGGTATGGTTAAGTTAGGCTAACAATGGATGCCTTTTAGCTGGTTCACTTTATTTCAATTTAGCATTTTTCCCCCTTAGCTAACTAATGGAATTTTCGTTAATTTTTTTCGGAGTTCATATTTTGATTTGATTTGATTGATGGGAAAGTGAAGCTGAGAAGAACTTAGATTTAGAATTTACAAAAAAAAAAAAAAAAAATGTTACACTAT